TTGAGTGTGAGAACCCTAAAGATTCTTTAATGAGGGTGCCCTAACACCTTAATTAAGATTAGTGAAAATGGGTAGATATAGCTAAGTTGGTTAGAGCATATGTGTTCCTCACTCTATACCTAAATTTGAATTTCCCTCTTTATAATATAGATTTAATATAGATTAAATTAAAGTAGAATAGCTTATATAAAAAAATAATAATAATGAAAAGGTAAAACCCAGTGCTGCCCTGTGGTTTGCAGAGAAAACTGACTGCCACAGAGGGCATGAATTTTTTGATTCAAGGGATTGAAATTCATGGGTTGGGGTGCCTAAAGAAAACAGTGTGTTGTTTTTTGTGTTGAACATATCAGGAACCGCACTTATCACCTAGTTTGGCTGCTTCTGCAGCGATGAAGATGATGACAAAATCAGTAAAGCCTTTTCTGGTTTATTAGGAAAGGCATGGCCCCTAGTGGCTGAGGAGGATCAAATTTCTTTCCAGCTGACATGAACATGTGGCTGTGGGGCTGCCCTTGTGCTTTTGGTAACAATTTTTAAGCTGGTTCATGTCTGTGAAGCACTGAAATTGCATGGCATTTCAAAGGCAATACAACTAAGGAAACCTGCATAATTAAAGTAGCCCAAGAAAAAGGGATGCCTTTCATTCTTTATTATAAATTAAAGGGTAAAAAGTAGGTATGTGTGTGAATTGAAAACTTCAGATAGAGAATCAAAACTGTTCATTTTGGATTCTGTAACCTTCTCAGTTATAATTTACCAAAAACAAAAAGCTCTTTTTGAACCAAACAAAGTTCCTAAAGTTAGTGCTACCCAAGTAATTAACCAGTAAAGACAGGAGCAAAACATGCTTAAAGCTCAGTGTTTATGCTCTGTTTAAACAGTAATTAACCACCTGCCATTCAAACATTTCGTCTTTAAAACCTACCATCTTTGCATGGTATCCATCACTAAAGAAGACCATAAACATGCTTCAACTTGGAATTCAATTCCTTGTCTGATTGATGCTGACATGAGCCAATACAAATTCTGAAGAGCTGTCAAACTCACACAAACCCACCACCTAGTTTAGACCAACAATTTTCAACTAAGTCGGCACAAGTGTGAACCTCAGCATATCTCTCAAAATTCGTAGACTTTCATGTAATTCTGATAACTAATTAATTTAAAACTAGATGTTGATTAACTTTTTTAATCCTACATTTAACTTCAAAAGAGAAAACCACCATTGACCATTTCGATCTTGTGACTACATATATGTCATGAAGATGAAGCTATGTTTCTTTTTCCCAAAATTTCTAATGGCAAGTGGGACCATTGTTTTAATATATGAATAATATGATGAATGATTTAGACAAAGTGAAAGTACAAACGATAGATATTGGGGACAAGGAAAATATAACTTCGGATCTCGGAATACAGGGATCAATGTTTTTAACAACTTGAGCTACAAGTCTAGGTATGTTAATGACAACAATTAGGGACAAAACTTTGTTAAGGGTTTTGACTCAATGGGCTGGTTGTTCTTTTATGATGGGAAGGTCCATGACTCAATGGGCTGATTTAGAATAAACAGGAGTTTAAATATTAGCTTTGGCTAATCTATATGTAGCTGGCCAGCAGCTTCATCCTGCTGCATTATGTTGGATTTGGACGTTGCTTTGGCCTCATGCTTATCCAAATAGTTGACCTACTTCTTACTTATGTCGAAGACTCAAAACAAAAACATTGATCACTATGAAGGCATATATTGCATCAGAGGGTCCATGTCAAGTATTGATCACTCAAAACAAATGTTCGGATATGTTCTATTTCAAAGAGTAATCTAGAAATGTCATGACGCCACTCAATTTAGCATTGAACTCCCTTGCGATGCTAATACAATTCGGCATCTAATAGTAGAATTAACAATGAAAATCGATTACTTCTAATATCGATCATTCTAATCTACTCATCGGAACACTTTCTGTAAATTCATAACACTTTGTGCGTGTGCATATGCTTGTGCAAAAACAAAATTAGGTTAAAAGTTCAAAGGCAATGCCATTGGGCTTAGATAATCATGAAAACCAAACTTAATTTCTTTAGCTTTCTTTATAGTCGACAATGAGAGATGACTCAAATCCATTGTCGGTAGTTATAATTAGGGATAATGATGACTCAGATCCTGCACATATTATGGCCACTGAAAGCAGCCACACATGCTTATTTTTACTTTCTCTACAATAATTACGTACGGTTGAAAAGACTAGGTGTACCATAAGGTCGGTCCAACCCCAATGGCTTAACCTTTACACAAATGTTGCCTTTGAATTTTCTTCCCCCAAAGTTATTATGTACATTTGGGGACCAAGGCTAAGTGGGGCAGACGAAAATGGCAAATGTGATGTTGATAATTTCTGCAACATACATTGCACATGTCGCAAATGACGCACGAAGGGCCAAAGGGGATGGGTGGGGTGGGGTGGGGCATGCTATCTATCTGTCAAAAGAGTTTTGTTTGTAATAATCACGTGAATGATTTTCAACCGTTGATCGATGTTGAATTCGTTCTCATCATCTGCATTAGTCAATAAACAACTAACAATCATTTTCATCATCTGCATTAGTCATTCTCAACCACGATGAATATGTAAAGTTGGTAACATGCCTGCTAGCTATCAGTCAAAGGATTTTTTTTTCCAATTATATTGATCGGAATTCATTATAAGGCCTACCTCAATAAACAGCTAACAATCATTTGGTTGTGTTCGTGTGCGTAATTCTCAACCATGATGGAGGTGAAGTCGGTGACGGAATTTATGGTTGAGAATGAATATGTGGATATGCAAGATTAACATTTATCATACCATTTCATCAAAACCTAACAAACAAACGTAAAGAATGATGTGGATCCTTTTTACCACTAAAAGAATACACATTTGTTTTTCGGGTTTTGAAAAGTTTAGGAGTAGGTTAGGCTACTCATTTCAAAGTTAGGGCATCTAAGGTCTCTTTTGAGATCTTACAAAGGAGATCTTAGCCCCTTTTTTTATTTTTACAGATACCTACCAAGGGAATTGTTGATAACAGAATTCGAATCTAGATGTTGATAACGAAGATAGTACATTTTTTTATGACAAAACAATGTATTGAATCTGATGGCTTAAAGGAAAATTGTGCATTGTCTGCGATCCATGATTTTCGTCGAGCCATATAAGTGCTAACATATTCTATATTCCCGTTGGGTTTTTAAAAGAAAAAATAAAAGAAACCAGATTCTTCCCATGTCATGTATGCGTGGCAAAAGCATTTTAAACAAATGTTTTGTGTTAGAAAGTGTTCGGCCAGAAAAACAGATATTCCATACATGCTCCTTCAACCAAAACAATGCCAATTTCCACTTTATTTTGGAATTCGATAATTAACCAAGGCAAAAAAAGGCTTTTTTTTGACACAAAGGTGATATAACTTTTATTGATGAGGAGTGAAAACAAGTACAAATAATCGGACTATGTCTTCGAAAAAAACCGGGCAAAAAATCTTTAAAGTAGTAATCCTATTCAAAGAAAAATCTAAATCTTTGAAGGTTGAGAATTGAGATATTACCAGAGCTTTTAAGGTGGACAAATGCTAGTTTGTTCAAACCTTTCCGACCAATGATGTTTTCGAAGTCAATTCAAGCACATTTGCAGATTCTATAATATTGGGCCACACTCTTAGGTATTCATGATGAAGGGATATAAAGGTAATTAACAATGAATGTATAAGATTTAGATTGAATATTCTTGATGAAGAGTTTGCCCAAAAAATATTCCAAAGACAAAAAAAGGTGCCTTTAGCCATAAGAAGTTGGGAGGACATTCCAAAAGGAGATCTTTGTAGTCAATCTCACACTTCCATTACCAACTTCAGATATGGAATATTTCCAGATGATGCTTCTCAAATTGGATATTCTTGAAGAATAGAAGGAAGCATCACCATCCTACAATTCCTATACTTCTCCGCCAAAAAAATTCCAAAATAACCAACTTTATGCCTTATCCCTTAGAAGTTGAGGACATTCCAAAGAGACATTTTTATTTCAATCACTGAAAATGACCAGTTTGGAGTTTGGAACATGTTCCCTTGGCTCATACCAAATAGATTTGAAGCAGAGCCAAAACTTGCTTTTAGTATCTGTCACACTTTGTGATCACAGAAGCACAAGCATCTCATTTGACCAGTGACCAATATTCAGTATTAAGCTTGAAATTTTCTTATGCCCCTCCACTTGCTTATAGATCATATTGCAATCGAACTTTATGCTCCACAAGATTATGTTTCACTGAGAATTTTCTCATCTTTGTCTCCGTAAAATCGGTCCGTAAGATCCGAGATAAGGCAAGTTGAGGAATTTATTCTCTGTTTTAAATCAGTGCATATGCTGAGCAGTATGCCAAAGGTAAATTTGAATTCTCTTTATGCCATTTTGGGTGGTGCAGAAATAAGAACCTGAGTTTATACTTTGCATGAGAATCTATCTACCCAAAAAAAATATATATATATATATATATATATACAAATTTAATTGGCCTAGCACAGGATCTCCACCTCATAAATCAAATAAGATAAGATGATGCATTGTGTTTGTAAAATGCATCATCTTTGATCAACTTCTGCCTCAAGTCTTACAAAGTAATGCATAAATTGAACTTTTGAACTTTGGCCTCATATAATTTATCAAGGGAACAAACATATGTAGCTTCCTCTCATACCAGGTTTCTATAAATGCATATATATTGAAGTATTCTAGCAAATACGTATGTAGAAATATTGTGCATATTATTATTATTTTTTTTAAAGTACCTGAAAAATGTATGTCACTTCTCCGAAGGATTCAACATATTATTGTGCTTTACAAGAATTTCTTCTTGTTTTTATAAATAAGAAAATCTTTTTAAGCATTCATATAGTATCCAGGGGCAGCATTGGGTTTTCTTAATGAATTGAATTCAGAGAGATATAATTCATCCTAAATACTAAAGAGTCGCAAGCAGGGCAGAAGCCTTATCTTGCAAAAGCTTCCATGCTGCATTCACATGCCTCTCCTCAGTCAATGGAGCTCCTACTGCAAGACGTAACAAGTATTTCCCTGACAGGACCTGTATAATATGTTGGTAGTCATCAGCAACACTGAATTTACATAATCTTTTAAAACCAGGACACAAAAAACAGCGTCAATATGTGCGACAAAATTAAGTAAGCAGTGAGCTTACCGTGTGAGAAACAAAAATCTTCCCGGTTGAGTTCACAGCATCTAATAGGCCATGATTCAGTTTAGTAGCACACGTTTCGTCGTTATGAGGGGGCAGAAGACGGAAACAAACTAATGAAAATAGCCGCGGAGTAACAATCTACGAGTTGTAGTGAATTATCAACAACACGATTAGGTTTGCATGAAATTTTCATACCATAGCATTCAACTTGTAACAATAGATAGCAGTGAAAAAAGACACTTCATGAAGAAGACCATTACCTCAAATCTGGGGTCTTGAGCAACGAGCTCTTTGAAGTGTTTAGCTAAATTAATATGGTTTCTTATATATGATTGTAGGTTTTCCAGACCATAAAGTCTCAGCACCATCCATAGCTTTAATGATCTAGAAGCAGCAGTCAATGATTAAAATTATAAAGCATGATAACTATACGAAAGGGCATAAATGCGGCATAATGCGGCATAATGCGGCATAATGCGCAGTGAAACATTCTTCTTTCTCCACAATATGAAGTATTCTCAACATTCAAGCTCAGTAAAAACACATTAGTTAATAAACCTGCCTTCTCAAAGAAAAAGAGTACTTTAAATCGTAGTGTACTAAGCAAACCAAAAAAGTTTTATTTGGCTGCAAAATGTTCAAAGGCACACCTAAACCGACGTCCAAGTGGGATTTGCCAATCTTTGTAATCCACAACCAGGTTTGCTTGAGAGGCCTGTAGTATCAACAACATTATCAGTAAACGTGCACACGTGTTGCAGTATTTTTTTGTTGGCTGGGCATCAACTGTCACAGTTAAAGAATTCACCCGCCCAAATTAATTGTTGGCACCTAATAGTAAAGAAAATAATAGAGGAACATATTTACCTTGTTTTTTAGGAACTCAGGATTTGTAGACAGAGCCTGGATCAAAGCATTTCTATCCTGTTATCATGAAACAATTATCAGGCATCAACAACTGTATTAATAAATAACAAGAACTGGGAATCGAGAACAAAAGGTGTTACACAAAACTATATTTGATCATATAGCGGAAAACAGTCTTAATCAGGTGGATCATACTAATTTCCTGAAGGATTATTAGAATATAGTGAAGAGATAAACGATTTTAGATGGATATTAGCCAAGATATCTGAAATATTTATACATCATTCACATGATTATTATTCTTTTGTGGAAAACAAGGTTATTGGCATTAGCAGGATTTATAGCCACTGAGGCCATAAGACAACCAACAAATCAGGTGTTTCTTTCCACAAGAACAACAAAAGTGAAAGAATGAAGTATCAAAACACTAGTGAAGAGGACTGCCATAGCAAGCCACAGTGAATCTTGCATCCTATTCATTTAACAAGTCATATGCAAAAAGAAAATCAAAATGCTTCCATTAGAAGTTGACTACAGAGAAGTACAATTCATGCAAAAGTATTTGAGTCAGTTCTTAAGTTTCATATAATGAAGACAAGGGTGATAATGGTGTGCATGAATCTTCGATGTAACGGTGCATGTAATTCTTAGGGAGAGCAGCAGTGGGAAAAACTGGGAGGTACCAAAAAAATAATAAGCATACAAACAATGCGCACAGCTACACCATGACATACCTTGATCCAGAGCACTGAACAGTCAAAGTTCGTGAGAAACCATTTATGTGCATTTGTGTTAAATGAGTCTGCCTCTTCAACACCATCAATGTAATGGCGGTACTCTGGACATATACAAGCACTACCAGCATATGCAGCATCCACATGGAACCACATGTCATTGCTCTGGGAAAATGCAAAGCATTACCATTATGGTTAAACTAAGTAAGTCTTTAATGTCATTGATTAGATCTTGTTTCCAAACATCCTTAAAAAAAAATTGCCTTGACAATGCCTCAACAATAGAACAGGTATATGGAATCTCATATTCTAAGCAGGAAGTCAATAAAAACTTAAAAATTTATTTTTCAAAAGTCAAATTTACACAATCTAAAAGGGTTTTTCATAAAATTTACTGGCAATGAAGAACCATGAAGAATGCAGCCATTTTTAATGGTCTAAAGCAAATTTTACAATTAAACTGTTACCTTTGCAATCTTTCCCAGTTCTAGCAAAGGGTCAACAGCCGTTGATGAAGTAGTACCGACCTGAAAGTACAAATGCAAAGTTTCTTTAGTTAACCAGAATTCTAATAACAGCATATAAAACCATGAAAAAAAATTCGAAATATTATTATGAGTTTATATGGTAAACCGTATTCCATTATCAACACATGCACCAACCCTTGTACCGCTGTGGTATCAAAGGAGTGGTGATGGGTTTGACTTGTAATGGGTTGTGTGTGAAAGTGTTCAATAGTTAAAGTATTTGCTTTGTGTAAAACAAAATTGATTCCATACATTTCATATTTAGTTGCATACAAGTTACCATTCTTATGCCCTTCAGAAACTAATTAAATTTAAAGACATCCTTGGTCTCCTCACAACATTAGTGAACATTTCATTGTGGTCAAATAACAAGGTAGAATCAATATGATTAACAAAATGGACACAAGTTAGCATCAAAGGTTTTTCAGTTTCTTACTGTCGCACATAGGAAAAATGGAATTAAACCACTGGTGACGTCGTTTGAAATCGCTTCATTAAGTACATTGGGAGAAAGGGCATAATCAGTAGAAGAATCAGTCCTCAGCAGCCTGCAATTCTCGGGATGGATTCCCCCTATCTGCCATTAAACAATAAATCTTATGAAAAATGAAAGGCATTACGATTAGCAAGCAAGGCTAGACTGCTGAAAAACCATAGGAAAAAAAGATGGGAAAAGAAAGAATAGTAGAGCACACTATGAAGATACCTGACAAGCTTTTTGCAAAGCGGAATGTGTTTGATCAGATGCATAGACAACAAGCTTCTCAAGGGAATTTTTTCCTACTCTCCTCAAAATCTTATCACGAGCTGCCAACAGAACAACCAGAACAGCTTCACTTGCTGTGCCTTGTATCACTCCACCACCTTTTCCTGCAACAAGATGTTCGATCATAAGTCGAGAAGCTCAATACAGTTCCACCGCAGTAACACAACACAAGTTTCTTCAACTTTTGGTAGAGAAAAACGAAAGAAAAAATGTTCACTTGGAATTTCATTAAAAATATATATTTGTGTAAAAATCGATCATCTCACCTGCTGAAAGAAATTCTTCGGGTAGTTTAAGCATTTTACCAAACCAATCCAATACGATCATTTCGAGTTCAGTTGCAGCAGGAGAAGTTATCCAGCTGAACCCAACAATGTTCAAGCCTGCGCTCATCATTTCACCTAAAAATCCAGCAATGCTGCTGTTGGAAGGGTAGTACCCAAAGAAATTTGGGCTCTGCCAATGGGTAACCCCTGGTAATATCTTAGCCTGAATGTCTGCAATCACATAAAAGTTTTGTTCTTCACACAAGTTTCTGCCACACAAATTACATTTATCATGTATAAGACAGCATTTTAGAGAATTTACAAAAAGTGATCTATTCTATTTCTACATAATCAGGCCAGAAACTTTAATCCTAAACACCACATTTGCAATAAGTATGCAGTGAAATCTAGAACATGGGGAACCCAATTGAAACTGTACCATCAAAAATATGTTGCAAAGGCTCGGGATGAGTAGGTGCAGAATCCGGTAAAAGTTCCCGGAGATATCCCGGCTGCAAAATTGAATGGCGTTATGCTAATGGCAATTGGAAATTAAATCAGAATTGATATTGGAGAGATGGAATTGAGAGTTGAAACCTGCACTTGGCTGAGAACAGGGAAATTCTCAATGGTTTTGTAGTAATCAGCAATGAAATCTACCATCTTGTGGGCATTCTCTCTGAGCTGCTCAGCATCCATTGGCTTCAGCCCACTCTCCCTGCATATCCATATGTGTAAAAAGGAAGAAGCTTTCAAATTGGTATGCAGCAAAGTTATATATCTACCAAAGAAAAGGGATAAAAAGATTGGGAGACTGACATCTTCTGCTGATTGATGCTCTGTTCTGTTTTCTTTTTCTTTCTTTCTCAAAGAAGATTGTTGCAGAGAAATGAGGGAGGTGAAGAGGGTTGTTGGCTTTGAAAGGAAACCAAGAAGTAGCTGATGGACTGTTATTCTTGTATTTCAGTTGAAGTTGGACTGCTTCTATTTGTTTTCTTTGGTTGAATTTGAATATCCGAAAGGAATAAAAACGGATGAGAACTGGGAGATTTGAGTTGGAGGCAAGCAGAAAATGTTTGTCTTTTCTTTTGGATTCTGCTGAGTGGACAATATGCAATCATCGTCCACCAGCGTTACAAACTTAGGGGGGGTGTATCCAATTCTTACTTTTAAATACTTTTTTTAAGTGAATGACTTTTCTAGAGTAGACAAATTCTTAATGACTTTTACATACTTTATAAAGTTAAGTGACAAACTTTCATATACTTTTGTCATAGAGTTTTATAGACTTTTAAATACTTATTTTTATATTTATTTTACAAATAGCATTTATCTTTTATGTTGAATGAACTAGTCGGCATATATTGAACAAAAAATTAGGGAAAAAAACAATTGGATACAATTACATAAAAGCAAAGAATAGTTCTCCTTAACATTAGAAAATGATAAAAATGACAAAGTACATTTGAAAATGTACCATAAGGAAATAATTGGCATTCAACTAGTCATGATTCAGTTTTAAAAAAAGCTTAGCCGTGATTCATTTCAATGACGGTGAATAAACCATAATACAAATTCCTTTTGAAAATTCCAATGCTCATTACTGTTGAGTTCCGTTATTATCTTGCATGGCATTTCTCCACATGTCAGAAGCTATACCAACTCTCCATTCATTAGCATTCTCTCGTTGTTGTTCTTGAGTTTCAAAAACTTGTTCCACATTATCTCCTTCATTCCCTAGTAATGGTGAAGATGATGAAGACTCGTTCTCTGGTTCAATAGGAAATTCATCAGAACGACATTCCCTACGAAGAAAATTATGTAGTCCTGAACAAGCTAACACAAGCTCTGCTTGAGTCCTATATGGGAATGGAGGTGCTAACTTGAAAATTGTGAATCTTGATTTAAATATCCCAAATATCCTCTCAATTACATTCCTCAAAGAAGCATGGCGAAGATTGAACAACTCAGTTGCGGTTTCGGGGTCACTTCCTCGCTTCCTCGTTGTGATTCTTCCATTGATAATTACTATATCACACGTACAAATCCTTATTAATTGTGTATATTTTCATAATAGCTTATTGGTAAACTGCATCCAATGCACCTTTTAAATTTTTATTTATCAAATCTAATCACATAGACAAGTAACAAATTCTTATCAAAAGAAATAAATATTACTCAGTCATCAATAATATTTCATAAACACTCACAAATCAACATAAATGGTCAGATTACAAGAGTCTATATTCCAGCAATTCTCTTAACCTAATATGTGGGATGTAATCAAATTGAGAATATTATATGAAAAAATTATCCACCTAACGAATTATGGGTAAAGAAACAGTACCTAAAGAATAAATTAATGGGTTTAGGGGCAAAAAATTATATAATAAAATATTGTATGCAAACATAGCATATGAGACAATCAATATAATAAAATATTTATATGCAAACATAGCTGAAGGAAGTGGATGAGAAGAGATATTCATCAACAGAAACGTGTGGATGAAAAGAGAAGAAAAACATTCAATATTTTTTTACTAACCTAAAGGAAGTGGATGACAATGGGATACCAAAGTGGAGCCCTAACCATGAAGAAAAAAGATCCATCTGCTTGATGCTTGATATAACAAAGGAAGAAAGAATTGGAGACATTTGGAGACGTTTTGTTTCTATCTTCTCAGCTTCCCAATATTTTCATAAAGTCTGGTGTAAATTAGCAAGACTTTTGGTAGTAAGAATTACCTTTAAAAGTATTGAAAAGTCATTTATTTAACAAAGTTTTTAAAAGTCATTAACATTTTGGATACCTCAAAACTTTTAAATACTCTTTAAAACTCACAATTGAATACAACTAAACTTTTAAAGACTATTTAAAAGTCACAATTGAATACCTTCAGACTTTTAAATTCATTAAAAGTCATTAAAAGTTAGAATTGGATACACCCCCCTTACAAACATTCTAAGGAAATATAATGCCTGGATTGTGCCACGTCATATTTTAATTACACTTTATTTTTCATGAGCAAACTTTATACTAATTGCACATACGGTATGATCCTTGAATAGTTTAATCTACAATAATTTAGGCTATTACTTATATTAATTAGAAAAAAATTTAGGGTAATGGTTTGGAGTAATTGTTCTCAGTTTAAGCCATGAGTTGAGTCACAGTATCCGTAAAGTGTGTGTGAGTTAGCAGTGGCGAAGCCAGCGAAGTCAGGATTTCATGTGTGTGGGGGCCTCTTATAAATTATAAAGAATCAAAAGTTCGAACTCACAATACATACGAAAAATAGTATATATATATATATCACATATGTCAAGAATTTATTGCTTATTGGTTGCAATCATAATTGTCCTCAACAAAGGGATAGACAAATACATTTTAAGCAAGAAAAATTGTAAGAGATAGACAAAGAGTAGCGATTTAGCAAGTATCTTTAAAGCATTTTCTCCTATTAAACCCAATAGAAAGAAAAAAAATCAAAATTTCACAAACTAAAAAAAACCTTAGATCCCTTCATGCATTCATATCATACATGAAAAAATGTTTTATGTAAAAATATTGACTAAGTATGAAAAATGGTTTTTTGAAATAATCATTTTCTCAAGATAATTTTTGGCGGCTTTTATTCCTTACACATCAAATAAGAAAACTTGATTTTATGGGATTTTAGTATAAAGTATATATTGACTTAATGAGCCATCATTTTTAGCCTAAATTGTATTTTGCACTAAAACCGATTTTTTATATTTTGATTTGATGGCAATTTGATTTTCTAGTATTTTTATTTGAATCCAAATAAGGGGTACTTCCTTATTTACATTGTAAACTTAAGTAAATGGAGTAATATAAAAATAAATGAAAGTAAAAGGACAAAAACATTTACTTAAATGCTGAAAATGGAAATAAGGTAATCTGTACACCTGGAGTGCAGCGCCACCAACTGAGCAACAGGGTAATTTGAAGCACCTCATTGTGCCTTAATAGATCCGCCACAACATTTGTGGGTACATATCAAAATGTAAAGTATTTGAAATAATATATATATAAATACATAATAGTATATTACTTTTAAAATATAAAAAAAACTTGAGTGGGGGCCCGGGACCACACTGGTCCCAGTGTGGCTCCGCCCCTGTGAGTTAGTATGTTATCGTCCCTCTTAATAAAAAAGGTTATCAAGAAAAAAAAATTTCAAAGATTGCCAAAATAAGGGGAAGATTTAAATCCAAACATATATTCACCCAATATTTGTATTAATTGCATATTAATTTTTGGGTGAAATACTTTTTTGGTTACTGGGTTTTACATGAAAATTCAATTTGGTCACTGGTCATTGTGTTTCCCGAAGTTTACAATTTATAGACATTTTGTTATCTTTCGTTAAGTGCGGTTTTTATTTTTGTTTGTTTTTAGGAAGCACCTTCATGAAAGTACGGCCTCCTAATAGCTGTTTCAAAACTAATGATCTTATAATCAAACTCTTTAGCTTTCTTATACATCATCTCTAATGGTTATATACTTCTCCAACTCTTTGCCTCTGTTAAGCCAGCACTTGTAGGTTTAGGAGACTCTTCTGCAACATCAGATCCAAAATTAAGCCCTGTAAAACCACATACACAATTGTAGTGCATTTTGTATACTGTTACAAAAACTACAAATTATTAAGGTGACACGCATGAATGGAGCATACATTCACTACGGTCATACATAGCTATCTGCATACTTTTTCCAATAACCATAACACAAAGGATACTCAGCCAAAAATGCATCATAATTACACTCAAATAAATATTTATATGATCAACCACAATTTTGGACACAAGTGTTGAATGCATATATAGATAGTCGATCAAAGGCACGTATAGGTATAGCCACCTACTGCCAAATTATTATAAAATAAAATGGAACTTGGAAACATAGATAGATACAACTCATGATCGATCAGTTGAGTAAAATTAAACTCTCACTATAAGTATCGGCACACTCATAAGAATCTATCATTTTGATTCCGGTATCGGTGGCTTGGTGCGACTCAGGATCATATAAAACCACTTTAACTTCCCTGTGTGTACATCCCCCCGGCCTAGCCATAAGAAACCTGCCATTTGTTGTGAACCCTAGTGGCAGTGGGCATGTTATATGTCCCATTTTGGGGAGAAGAATCGTGCAGGTATTTTTCCAAGTATCATCCATTTCAAGAACCTATACCTCATAAAAACAACCCAGTTGCTCATCATCATCTTGTCGTAGAATTCGATGGAAGAAGGAAAGTGATTTCTCCGACACTCGAATAATCGGAGGAGTTTGTTCGAAAACCGGTGTGGGTAGTACTACTTGATGAGGTAGCATAATCCTTTTAAACTACTCACTGCCAAAATCAAAAGAAAGAATGAAAGTGGAGGAATTAGGCTCCATTGTCATCCAGTACACAATACCATTCAAGAGTGCACATCTGCGTCGCGAAACTTGGACATCATATGAAATGGGAGGAACTGCGCTAATACTTCTCCAAGCATTCAGTCTAAGGCTGTAAACCTCAACCTCAAACCTACTTTTTTTGCCTTTGCGTCTAAACCTCGTCACCCTCACAACCTTGTAGTCATTTTCGGCACGATGGAACCCGAACCCGAGAGCAATGATAGTGAGAGTATAGATTGTGTCTTGAACGGGAAAGGAAGCAATTTTCTTGACTTTTCTGATTGAGGGATTCCATAGATATGTGTAATTCTGAGAAAAATCAGAGAGGCAAAGCAATCCATTGCAAGAACCTTTAACGAAGTGAAAAAAGTTGCCCACATTAAGAACCTTTAAATCCAAACACTTGGAAAATGTTTCAGCACTACAAGAATAGAGTGAAAAGCAATTTATTTCACTGGTCTGGATAAGTTGATAATCACATGCTTTGTTTTTCATTTGGAGATGGGCATGGGCGCTTATGAAATCGGGGCTGCTAATCAAAGTGTTCCAAGATTTGCAAACACATGTACAGCGCAAAAAGGATTTCACCGGTAATGTTGTAAGGATTTCAAACAATATTTCTTCGGGTAACACTTGTCTTCGTCTTGTTCTTCTTCTTTCATACTTGAGGAGGGTAAGGGGGGTTGTTGTTGACGTGTTGAAATTACAAAAACAATGCCTACACAAGTACTCAACTGTGTTGGGTTATTGAAGAGATGATTTATTCAAGGGGTAACCCCTTAATATATACGTAAAGCACAAACAAATCCTATGACAACAAGGAAAAGAATTCCTAACCCACAAGTAAGTAATTGCAAAACCCAACACAAAATAATAAAATAAAATAAAGTAACTAGTTTTGAAACCCGTTCTCACATGTGTTCCCCATTTCAAGGAGGAACAAAATAGCAAACAGATCATATCATATGGTGAATGGTTGTCGAGCGGCATACCAGAGGGGATTTAGGTGGGTCTGGGCGCCTAGGCGGTGAATGGAATTCGCAGAGGAGGTACCTGACCTGAGGCCAGAGACAGCGTCATTTTCAATAGAGTTCAGCTGAGCTTCGAGGAAAATGGAGATTTTGAATCCCTTTGAATTTAAACACAACCCCAAACGGCACCAAAAATTTGGTGATAACAACGACAAAGCCAAATGGAGAGAGAAGAGCGGAAACTTGAAGCGGTGCGTGGTAAGGCTGGTGACGTGAGGGCGTGTTATCTTTTTATTTTATTTTTCTTTATTATTTATTTGTTTCTTTTTAATGACGTGGTGTTAGATGTGGCCCGTAGAGAAAATGATCCCTGGGCTTTGATCAGGCCCGTCCAAATTTTGTCGATACAGAAAGATATGAGTTTCGTCCAAATGTTGAAAAAAGATAAAGGGCCATTGCCATTGTGAATAAAACCATATTTTTTCAAATTAAAATTAGTACATACTATAATTTCTCTTCTTTTTTTATTTATCGAAAAGAAGTATATTTCATTAACCGAAAGCATTGGTTACAATGAGGTCATCAAGAATACAATTCATTAGCCATACAGGGCCTTCTTCTAACCAATAATAAGGACCTTGTTTGTGTAGAGCAAAACGGGCAATAGCATGAGCCACCTTGTTACACTCCCTAGGTCGAAATTGGACTTCCTTTAAAATAATTTCAATTCTTAATGTTTGCATTAACCGATGACATTTTCTGGTATTTTGAATGTTTTACTATTCTCTGCCTTTTGCTTTATATATATAGATTAAACGTACAATGTAATTTTACAATAATACAATTAAAATTTAAAAGAACTCACACACAATAGTATTGTGACTATACCATTGATCCATATTTTGATAAATTTATTAAAAGTCAATTACTCAAAATTACAATAATACAATTAGATACGGTTAATTTGTAATTTTAAAATTTTAAAAAAAAATTTGGCCACGTGCCAAGCATGTGAGGTTTTGATAGAAAATTGGATGGAATTCAAAAAATTTAACGGTAAGGATGAAATTGGATATTTATAATTTGTTTGAGGACTGAATCGACAGACAAAATAATTCAAGGAGTTAAGTTCGATTAGCGTGATAGTTCAGGGGGTAAAACTTCTGAAAATCCTTTGATAAATTCATCTTGTGGCTGAGATTAATTTGGTCCTTCAATTTTAGGTCTTTAGGTGAGCGGGACTGAATATGAGCTATTTAGAGCATCTCCAAGGGAGATGTCAAATACCAAACATCAAATTTAAATTTGATTGCTGATGTGACAATTTGACATCTTACACAGCTTTACACTCCACCCGATATGTCAAATTAAATTATTATTTTATTACATTTTAGTGTTGATTCATTTTTAATTAAAAAAAAATAATAATAATAATAAAATATTCATTTGACATCTTGCTTTTGGGATGTCAAAAATAACATCTCAACCTCTAGCCTTCATTTCACATCAACTTTGACATATCGGTTGGAGTAATGTGAAATGTTATTTTTAGCTGTTAAATGTCTATGTGGCACATTTGACACATCGGTTGGAGATGCTCTTACAATATGTCCTAACTTGTGGAGTTAGAGAAAGAAACTGAACGTGTTTCCATAAAAATTTAAAAATAAAGTCTAGGCCGTTGTTCCAATTTTCAAGCTCTGCAACATTGAGTTGCGGCACATGAAAGTACGGCCTCCTAATAGCTGTTTCAAAACTAATGATCTTATAATCGAACTCTTTAGCTTTCTTATACATCTCTTCTCTAATGGTGATATACTTCTCCAACTCCTCTGCCTCTGTTAAGCCAGCACTTATAGGTTTAGGAGACTGTTCTGCAACATCAGATCCAACCTAATAACCATTTACTTGGCAACCACCCCCCAAATGTGTACCTGCTGCAACTACAGCTTCTTCAGCATTCCTTAATTCTGAGTGCCCGACTTCCCGCTAATCGAATTTGAGGGGAAATAATTTCCCATGTCATTTCTCGAGGGATGGGAAATGGAAGATTCATTTCCCACATTTGGTAATGTTGGGAAAGTAACCAAGAGATATCATTTTATTTTCTTTCCCATGTTTGTGTTTGAGTAAGAATGGAAAACAAAGTTTGTATAAATTTTCAATTATACCCATATTAAATCAAATAAAAAAAGAATGCATTTAGTGAGATATTGTAATTCTAAATTGTTTATGGGGACAAACTGATAATGAAAAATGTTTATTTAATATTGGCCCATTTTCCCAAACTTTCCCATGAGGAGGGAAAACAAAACCCATTTACACCATACGTTCTTATGGGCCATGCAACAATTTCCCATACCTGGACTTACTAAACATAGGAAAGCAATTGATTTCCCATAGCCAAATCTCCTTTCCCATGAATCAAACAGGGCCTTAAAACTGTTAAAACCATAGGCATCAGGAATACAAACCAATTTCTAATATTATGCATGAGATGTTGCACTATCCACATAAATATTTATACACACGAAGAGGGCATTCAAAATTAAGCATGTAAAAGCACATATACAATTCTAGTGGATTCTGTATACTGTTACTAAATTATTTACTAAACCACCTGGCAGTGCATTTGTGTGAGTCTTATGTGGGCATGACCAGGTTTAGAGCTGAATTTGCTTCGATATTAGAACAATTTTGTGCTGGTTGGCTTAGTGCCAGTTTGGCATTGCTTATTTGGGGTGATAAGTGATTTTAAAAAAAATTTGGGAAGCCCAGCCCGTTTGGTAAACTATGAGAAAATCACTTATTGTTAAAAATTGATGTGAGAGAAAGCTATAAGAGAAAGCAGCTAATGAGGTGCTTTCATTTTCTGATTATGAATAAATCAGTTTCGAAGAGGCGTTGAGTTTAATGATTATGCGGCAATCATTTTCTGATTATGCGGGAATTAGTGTCAATAACACTTTTAACAAAAAGTTTATCAAACACCAAACTGCTTTATTTTACAGTTGATTTATCTTACAACAAATTTGACAGCGATTATTTTTACAGTACAGTAATGCCAAACTAGCCCCTGTAAATAAAAACAAGGGCTTTATATTTTTTGGTTTGAAAATGTTTGAGTCCAAAATTTACAATTTTGCCCATTTATGGCCAATCACGTGATATAGGCCGAATAAGGGAAATCTCAAGATATTCTTGGAGATATTATCTTGGTTTTATGAGATAATCTTGATATGACCAAAATATGACTATAATATTGGCTTATTTGGAAGGAAGTCTTTAAAATATTATCTTGATTCTATGAGATAATTCTTAAGAATTATCTTTAATTGGCTTGAGATACAAGATAACATATTTTGGGGAATGAGATTGAACCTCATACAAGAGAGATGCAGTGAAGAGATAATTGCTAAATCAAATGCAATAAAGGCCGTTGGCATAGATGGAAGGTGATTTGTTGGAATAAACAAATAGCCAAATTAGTGGCTTATAGATAGATAACTAAATAGATACAACTTATGATCGATCAGTTAAGTAAAATTAAACTCTCACTATAAGCATTGATACACTGACAAGAATTCACTATTTCGATTCCGGTATCCGTGGCTTGGTGCGACTGAGGATCATATAAAAGCAATTTAGCTTCCGATCTTAAATATCCCAACGGCATAGCCATAAGAAACCTGCCATTTGTTGTGAATCTCCCAAGTGGTCGTGGGCATGCTATATATCCCATTTTGGGGATAAGAATCGTGCAGGTATTCTTCCAAGTATCATCCATTTCAAGAACCCATACCTCATAAAGACAACCCAGTTGCTCATCATCATGTCGTAGAATTTGAAGGAATAAGAAAAGTGATTTCTCCGACACTTGAATAATCGGAGGAGTTTCTTCGAAAACCTGTGGGGGTAGCACTATTTGATGAGGTAGAATAATCCTTTTGAATTCCTCACTGACAAAATCAAAAGAAAGAATGAAACAGAAGGAATTACGCTCCATTGCCATCCAATACACAACTTCATTCAAGCATGCACATATGTCTAATGAAAGGCGGACATTAAATATTGAAACGGGGGGAATTGCACTAATACTTCTCCAAGCATTCAGTCTAAGGCTGTAAATCTCAACCTCAAAACTACTTCTTTTGCCTCTGCGTTTGTGTGCAAACCACATCACCCTCACAACCTTGTAGTCATTTTCAGCACTATGAAACCAGAACCCGAGAGCCATGGTAATGCCCCTATGGGTAAAGGGATCTATTGGAAAGGGAACAAGTGTCTTGATTTTTCTGATTGATGGATTCCATAGATATATAGAATTATGACAAGCATCAGAGAGGCAAAACAATCCATTGCAAGAACCATTAACGAAAAGAAAATTGTCGTGCGCATCAGGAACCGTTATATCCAAGCACTTGGAAAATGTTTCACCACTAGAACAACAGATTGAAAAGCAATTTTTTGTGCTGGTTGGGATGAGTAGATAAGCACATGCATTATTTTTCTTCACTTGGATTTGGAGATGGGCGCTTATGAAATCAGGGCTTCTAATCAAAGTGTTCCAAGATTTGCAAACACATGCGTAACGCAAAAGAGATTTCGCCGGTAATCTTGCAAGGATTTCAAACAAGATTTCTTCCGGTAACAACATGGTGGTTGTTGTTGACATGTTGAAATTACAAAAATAATGCCTACACAAGTAGTCAACTGTGTAGCTAGCCCTACCCCGCAGTATATATACACAGCTAGCTAGGTCAACGAAAACGAAAAGGAAAAGAATTCTAAACCCACTAGGTAATTAATTGTATAAGATAAATACAATATTTCTAATGGATTATCAATTCTAATTCTAAGTCGATGTGGTCCACAAGTAATTTTGATTTATTTTTTTAATAAATAATATGGGCCTCGTTGACATTAATATTGTGGTCAAACGTGAGAAGCCCAAATAAAGCTTTGGGCTACAACAAGACTTCTTTTCCCTTCAGAACCGGCAGGCCATCGTCCATCGCCCGATCCGAACCTACCCGACTATCTGTCAGCATGGGCCCTATTATCTCCTCCTCTATTTGGATATAGGCCTCAATAACCTGTTTCACATTGATTGGAGAAAAATAGAATTATTAATGAGTAATATAGGTAGCACAAATAAAAAATGCAGTGCAGTGTGTGTTATAGAATTAGTATTTTATACTTACGTTTTGTGACAGTTCCAAGTCTCATACAATATCTTTGATATCATGGTTTGTCACTTTCTCATTATGGAGTCCTGCCCAAAAGTTATCACTACGGATTCGAATACATGAAATTCACAAGATTAGTTTTCGTTTAATTGTAATTAAAAGATGAAAGAGTTGTTCTTTTGGAATAGAGATATTACCGAGGTTGAGTACTTAAGTAGTATTCTTGAATTCTGTCCCTGTCCTCCTTTGGAATTTTCTGCCAAACCTTCTTTTGACCCCATCCTAGTTTTTTCTTTGTTGGCTTTTTTTTTCCTTCATCTTCATCATTTGATTCTTGCATACCTACAGGTATTGAATCATGAAGACTCATTCCTTTTGGGGGATCAGGAATTGGATTTGTGACATCGGGCTGAGATGCCTCTTGTGTTAACTGCAGATTGAAAGGAAACTAATTAGAAACTCCATTTGATAAAATAGAAACTGCAATGCAGTTTCCGTTTCTGTAAAGCAGATAACACATTGCATTGCAGTTTCTATTTCTGCAATGCAAAAAACAGAAAAAGCAGCAGCTTAAACTGCAGTAATTGCATACCACCTTCTAATTTTGAGGATCCTCGTGTTGATTGCTCCTCGGAAGAGATAAGCTTGAATTGTGGTAGTTCTTCATCATCCTTTTTTGCCTTCTTTTTTGGTTTCTTATTTTTTTCATACACATAGCAAGATGCTTGAAGCCTCTTTCTTTCTCTATTCTTCAGCCTTAGTACTCTTGAAGGAACATCAGGTGTTGGAGCATCTTGCTTCTTCTCTTCTTGTTGCTTCTCTTCTTCTTGCTCTTCAACTGGTTGTGTTATAGGCAGATCCATCTCCATTTCAAAGATTGTTGGGTCTGACAACAAGCTTTGAATTTCTACCTTGTACTTTTCTTCAATCTCCTTTTTCTTGGAAATCTTCTCCATGTCAATACGAGTTTCCTTGCCTTCCAATTCTGCAATCCTCCTTTTCAAATTTTGTATTTCCTGAAGTTGAACTGTAGATTCCACTGTCATGGTGGCAGTCACATATTCTTCATTATCTAATTTCTATACGTATGTTGCCAACTCCGCTTCCAGCTCCTTTGATCTCTTTTCTCCTTGGATAAATATATCCCACAATTCCTTCATTTTCTTCTCACTGTCTTCATTTATTTCATCCTTCCACAGTTGTAATCTTTCTGAGCAAACTAAGCTAGGATCTTGACGTTGGTGGTAGTTGATTTGGTATGTCATGGACTTCACCAAGAGGTCTTGAATTGCAAGAGGTTCATTTCCAACTTCATTCTCAAACATTTTCTTCTTTCCAGCCTATTTTAATTATGGAGTTTGATCACCGTCATCAGGTTTTCCTTGGTCTCTGCTTCTCTTTGTTGTCCTTCATCATCTTCTTTTTCTTTTTTCTAATTAGTTTCCGTTCAATATGCAGAAAAAAGAAAAAGAAGATGACACAGAATCCATATAAGTTTCCATTTGAGGATGACACAGAATGTGCTCAACAAAATTCATCTTCGTAAGAATTGTGTCTACTCAACCATTCATTACAATTTGAAATCATTCAAAACCAAAAGCTAATCTCGTATTCATTTGCAGGTTGCATTGCGGCATGTTCGTCATGTTCTTCATGGATAAAATAGAACAAGGACAGCTCATTCCAAAAAATGTGGACAAGAATTTCATGAATGAATATCGAGCACAATATGTCACAAAACTCCTACACCACAAACACTGTGTAATTAATCGTCTCTAGTGATTTGCCTTTCGTTAACTCAAGACAATATGTATCTTAATTCTTGTGGATGTTTGTAAATATTTCTAGTTATGGTATATGAGAACATATTTCCTATACATATAAAGTGTAATATAATCTTGGAACAGGATGCAACAAAAGGAAAGGGAAACAACAAACTGCACTGAATTTTCTGGTCAAATACTGCAACAAATTAAAACTGCAGTGCAGTTTATATAAATAAATAAAAAATATGCTTAAAAAATGTGAAAAGAACCCAAGAGCCAAAGCCATAATCAAAGTACTTTGTTCAAAACACATTTAAGTAGGTCAGTAGTTGTAACATTCCAATATACTTGCAAAAATTATTCTGAAATTGAATTATCGAACAAGAAACTGCACTGCAGTTTCTGGTCAAAATCTGCACTGCAGTTTCTGGTCAAAATCTGCACTGCTGCTCAAAAGGTAAAGGCATAATCAAAGTACTAAAACTAATATCAAAACACCTTTAACTCCATGAGTAGTTATAACATTCCCATAGACTAGCAAAAAGTATTCTGAAATTGAATTATGCGACAAGAAACTGTACTGCAGTTTCTGGTCAAAATCTGCAACAAATAAACAGAAACTGCAATGCAGTTTCTGCAACAAAATCTGCTCAAATGTGAAAACAAGCATTCAATGGCAGTCAAAAATGAATATCCACTCATGAAACAATTGTATAACTTTCATTAACTTCAAAAAAGAATCATAATATCCAATTAGAAACTATGTAGCCAATTAAAAGCAACTAAAACTGCAATGCAGGTTTTGCAAAAAGTGCAATGCAGAAACTGACTATACATTCACTAAACCATATCTAACGTAAGCAATCGTCAACTGAGAAGGACTAGAACGACGAACTCCAAAAACAGTGAAACTAGAACGACGAACTACCCAAGTCCTACCGGCCTTCGCATTTTCCCACAGTCTAGTTTCCATCTTCGGACACAAAATTGCTGTCCACTTCTCCGCTTCAATTCGTTGTTGAGAATTCAATACCATCAATTTCTGTCGAATCCCTTCTATCAAAGGTAGCACCGGCAAATCTCGAAACACACCAACCTAATTATTAAATGACTCCGATAAACTGTTTGCCATCTCCCCATACCGCATTCCTTTGAAATATGCGTTGGCATAGTGATCTCTAGACAAATCAGATATAAATTTCTTCACTTTTGAACTCCCAACAATCACCAACTCCTCCATTGCTACCGTAAACTCTTCCTCTGTAATAGCATATGCGCATCTACTAAATAAATTGATAACACGGTCTTGGAGCAATTTCCCATAACCTGACTTCGGGTACTTCGATATCAAATTATGTTTGAGGTGATAGTAACAATAAGAATGAGGCCATCCAGGAAACACAAACCTCATTGCATTTAACAAACCTTGATTGCGATCCGAGAAAAAGGTCACCAATCTCCCCATCGGTAGCAAAATAGAAGCCAAATGTTGAAGAAACCAAGTCAAATTCTCCTCTGTCTTAGAATCAACAACTCCAAAAGCTAGAGGATAAAACCCTACAAAACAAAACCAAAAGCACAAGTATAAGCAAAAAAGGGAAATTGCAGTGCAATTTTTGAAAACAAATATGCTCAAATTTGAAAGGAAACCAAAAGGCAAATCCATGATCCAAGTACTAAAACTAAGTTTAAAACACATTTAAGTTCATGAGCAGTTGCAACATTCCCACAGACATACAAAAATTATTAAGAAAATGAATTATGAAACAAGAAACTGCAATGCAGTTTTTGCTAAAAAATTGCAACAAATGAAATCTGCAATACATTACAGTAACCATACCTTGATTTCCATTCTTTCCGGAAGCACAAAGAAGCTGCCCCTTGTACTTGCTCTTAAAAAACGTAGCATCAATGAACAACAAGGGTATGCAATATTGAAATCCAGCAATGCAACTGCCAAACGACACAAAAAACCGTCTAATGCGATTAATTCCAGCTTCACATTCAAGAGTGTAGAGAGAACCAGGGTTAGTTTCGTTTACGGCGTCCGCATACCACACTAACTCGTTGAAGGACTTCGACTCATCACCGTGAACGTTCAATTTAGCTAACTCTTTGCCAAACCATGCATGGTAGTATGAAATGTCTATACCATAATAATCTTTGAACTCGTGTATAATCTCAACTGGCTTCAGCTATGGTTTTGCACGAATTCTGTCCACAATGAGGGAGGACACCACACGAGACCTCATTATCTTACTCTTTGATTCCCGTATCCAACCCACACATGTATGCACATTATTTAATGTCCGAATTACAAAACAGCCAGTAGCTTCACAACGAGAGGCATAAACACGCCAGCTACAACCCTCCAATTTCTTATTCGAACAAATAGCAACCACCCGCTTCTTGTCATTGCCGGCATATAAAAAATTAAATCCTACTTCAAGAGCGTACTTGCACAATTTCAAACGGAACTCCTCTGCACCACCGTCAAACTTCTGCCCTACATGATGTATGTACGTCTTCCACTCATTCGACAACAAAGGCTTAGCACTTGCTCTCTTCGACCTGCCCAAAAATTCATTTATGTCTTTGACAATACTAGAACACGACGACTCGCCCTTTTCACATGCTATCAACTCCTTATTTACACAAAAATCACCACTATATTCACTACTCCTGCATAAATCCTTCACTAAAATATCAACACTCTTCTCATTTGATGCAAACAAAAATGTCCTCATCATGTCCAAATCGCTATCCGTTTCTAGAAAACAACTTGGATAACTGGGCAGCGAATACCGTAATGTAAAACAACCCAACTACAAACCCTTAAACCTTAGACACAAAGTCTTCAAAATATCAACCATGGATGACTCTGATGAAACTGAAAACATAATGGTTTCCGACTTATACCCGAACTAAGGAGAATAGAAATCACCCAAAACTGACAGTCATTCAGCATGCAAATCGAACGAAAACGTAGCAGAAAAAAGAAAAGAGAAAAACGAAGAAAATAAAAGGAAAACCTACCAGAAAATTGAGCTCCAACGACATATCCACAACCACAACTCCGAAACGAAAAAGAAAACGAATGAAAAAGAAAGAGAAACTCGCGCGTAGTTTAAACATTCAGAGGTAAAGCGTCATTTAATTTGTAGGTTTACAGATGGGCCAGGCTTTTTAAGAAGAATGGTAGAATTGTCTTTCATTTGTTATTTTAAGCTGGCCCAACGAATCTGGGCCAGTCTTTGGCCTAATCTAAAATAACAAATTTTTCTTAGATATTAAAACCCAAACCAAAATACCTAATATCTCACTTACTAATTAGTAAACTTAATTATATCTAATACCTAATTTTTCTAAAAAGAAAAGGGGAGTAGCGGGATCGTGCCAGTGCCACTCTAAACTTCTTTGAATATGCCCAATATTTCCATTAAAAACCAACAAAAAATGACTTGGGAAACTTTTAAAAATAAATTAGCATGACATATTCAGAAACAAGGATAATCTGACAAATTGTGTCTTTTCTCAAACTAGCTAGGGTCCCAAACTTGCAATGTGCAGGAAGGAAAGACGGTAAAATCTCACATTACAAAGGAAAATCAAGCACAATATACAACTTTTAGCGGCGGTTTTCCTTTCCGCTGCTAATTAGGGATTTTATAACGGTTAGCGATGATAAAAACCGTTGCTAAAGAGAATTTTCATATTTGAAACCCTAAAGTAGTCGCAAAAGGTCATAAAATCGCCGCACACCACAGTGAAAGGTTCAAAACCATCATTTAAAAGAACACTACCTATTTTATGCTGATTGAAGTGTTTCTGCCTCCTTTCTTTGGTGGATATTTAATTTTCCTCCCCTAATATACAAACAGGAAATTTAGTAAACCACCAAAAAAGAACTTAATTACCATTTGGCTAATATTATACCTACAACGAAATCGAGAGGTGTTCTTCCATGTCATACAAAAACTTAAAAATCCTTGTATCTTAAGCAATGAACTTCCACTTTACCAATATTAAATTTGATGAGGTTAATTCCCAAATGGTGTACAAGCTGATAACATGATTGCTATTCAGAATTTCTTATCTCCATTGGAAATTCAACATCTTGATGGAGAAGGCATAGATAAATGCAAAGAGTAGTGCAAATCCAACAACTACAGCTGCAACCACTCCTAGAAATTCTTGTTTGAAACCAAAGTAACTTCTCAGAAACTCTTGTACTGTTTCACCTGTGTTGAGCTTGGCCTGTATATCTCCAAACTGTGATACAGTCAATCCATACAAGGTCCAAGCCATTGGGGATGCCCAATAGTACCATCTCCACCATATAGGAATTCTCTGATAGCAGCCAAAGGAACCAGATAGAAAATTTGTCATCAAAATAGATTCTATTAACTGAAAAGAAAAAAAAACTTGCAGTGCCAGAAACTTACAGTTCGTGGGATGATGAATCCAGAAAAGAGGTTCCATAATGCATAAAATGCATTAGAAGTTATACCAGCAACATGTTGATTTGGTGTCAAGGCCACCCCCATCATGCCATAGAAGGTGAAGTACAAACATGTGAAAAACATGAAGAATAGGTACCAAAAGAATTTAGCCACAGTCCACTCAAATCCAATCATCGCATAAACTAGGACACTGTAGATCACAGCTTGTGCAAAAACATAAAGGACCTCAATTGTGACCTGCAACAAATAAGTGAATTAGCACAATACAAATAAGACAAGGTGATGCATTGTAATAACTATGTTTGTAAAATTCATATAGAATAACTCACCTGTGCAAAGGCATATGCCAAGGCAGAATACATTCCAGCAGCTCGTTCTCTATAAAAGACGGTTCGTTCAACAGCCACTATTGGCTGCACTGTCATGGCATTTTCAATACCAAGAAAGATAACAGAAGCATACATAGAACCAATTGCATTAAAGAGCTCTTGCTGTTTTTCCCTGAAATTAACAAACTCAAAATTACTCATGCAAGAATCTCAACTTCTATTACATATATTTTACTTCTGCACTCTGACTTACATTTTGGAACCAAGATTCCAGAACATTGTCCCAAGCAGCAAGGCTACCACAGTTGTGTAGATCAACCTTATGGCATTGTATTCCGGATTGTGCCAGTATGACCAATGTTGTTTCCATAAGCAAGCCTTGCATTGAGTGAAAAATGACTGAGGGTATCGAGTAGGGAAGTAGAGGTCCTGTGAACCAGGAGCAGGGGTACTCAGTTCCTCAATAAGGGATTTGTTTCTCCTGAAACAAAATCACTTTCATCAACAAATTTTACTTATGCCTTCTTTCAGCAATTTTCTTTTAGTGCAGTAGGTGGTTTTTCAGTATGATAAACCTACCTATAAATTTCAGAACTTCTATAAATATCAGCAAAATCAATTCCTAATGCCGTTTCTTTTGCTGAAGTGGTAACTTCTAACATCCAAGTAGCTGGATTGTAGCCATTCTTGATTTTGCTCACCCCCTCAATTCCCTGCACAGAAGTACAAGAAAACCTTGTTTCTGAAAAAAGAAGCAGCAGAAAAAATAAGAATATCATATTTTACCATTGAAATTTCCTGAGTTTTAATCAGATTCTACCTCAAAGTACTTGATCAAATGGCAAGAATGACGACCTAGTGGCCCTACATACATCTCCTGTCCTCCTTGCTTCATTAAAAACAACTGCAATGACATGTTGCATATGCTAACCACTTAGAACAGACAAAACACATGGGAGTTCCAATTTCAATCTTTTCAGTCAATATCTGTTTCACCTCATCGAAAGCTTCAAATATGTCGATGCTTGGCTGATGAATAGTGCACAATATTGTTCTTCCCGTGTCCACAATGTTCCTAACCGCTCTCATAACAATAGCAGCAGCTCTTGCATCTAAACCCGAAGTTGGTTCATCCATGAATATTACAGAAGGGTTTGCCACTAGTTCAACCGCAATGGTCAGCCTCTTCCGCTGCTCGGTTGAGAGACCACTTTCACCAGGTAACCCAACTAGTGCTTGCCTTAATGGATTCAGCTCTACGAGTCTCATCACTTCATCAACGAACATCTACAACCAATTCTGAAAATCAGTTCAAGCTTGCTCATGACTTTAAATTGCATTAAAAGAAAATAAAGAGTAGAAAATTATTCTTAACTAGCAGATACCAACCTTCCTGGTTCCAGAACTAATTTTCGTAGATAGACGCAGCCATGCTGAGTACATCAAGGATTCATAGACAGTAACATAAGGAGAGTGGATGTCATTCTGCTCACAGTATCCAGAAATTCTGGCAAATGAGTCTTGCTTCTTTGGATACCCAGAAATTGAAATATTTCCCTCAATATATCCTCTAGTTTTTCTACCAGCCAGTACATCCATTAGAGTAGTTTTACCGGCACCGCTCACTCCCATAAGGGCTGTCAGAACACCTGGCCTAAAAGCACCACTAACACACTTGAGAAGCACCAATTTGTCCTCAACAGCACCTTGGTTCTTCATTGACTGCAAGATGGATTCACAAAATTACTCATAATTTTGGAGTTACAGAAATTTTGTCCAATCTCAAACATGTTATATCACCTGTGGCATATCCACAGAGTATGTGATTTTATCAAACGTGATGGAATGCGGCTCAAATGGAAGAACCATTCCTCTTTTCTTGTTATGATTAGTACACTCTTCTCCATTATCTGCATAGAGAGTACAATATTGGTCATCAATAAACAATTACACTGAAAACAGACATGCACAAACAGTATCTGAGAGGATATATCAATATCACCTGAGTTGATTTGTGGAATCAAGCTATTTCCTTTGTTCTGTGACCAACCAACTTCTCCACTCTTCTCGTCATGTTCTTTGCTTTGAGATTCTTCCGATTTAACAGCCTGTTGCTTCTCTAATGCTGCATAATATTTTTATGGTAGTATAAGTAAAATTCTCACATATCTAAGTGTTAGAGCAGATAAGGTGAAGTTACCTACGGTTTAGATAAGTGAGAGCCACAGTGAAACAAACGTTGAATATGAGTATATATCCAATCAAAGCTCCTACTCCAATCCAATACCAAGATGGATGTGTAAAGAATCCATGAGACCTCAAAACAGCAACTCCTAGCGGTTCCGTTGAGTTTGGAAGAACCTTTTAATAGCAAGGACACAATATAATTATTAAGGGACAAACACCAAAGTGTTTGAAATGGCTAGTCAATTAAGGAATTACATGACTCCAAATCTTTCCCAGGAACTCATTAACCACGATTGCATTCTGACCATACATCAAAGGTGATATCCAATAGCCCCATATCCACCATTTCTTTATATTCTCTGTGACATCAACCAAAGGGCATTAGAAAACATTGTATAGCACTTAAGATGAAGTGGTGTTTCTTTACTTTACTTATTTTATACCTCTTGACAGTACGAAGCCACCCAAAGCAAAAAGCATGAGCTGTGCAAATGACCCAAATGTGTAAGCAACAACCATGCTTCTACCAAGTCCAGCAATGGATCGGTTTAACGCAGAAGCCATCTGACTAATGAGTAAGAATAGAAGGTATTGTCTAAAAAACCTGCATCATTTTCAGAATGATATATTAAATGGGCTAGAACAACAAGCATGAACAAAAAAATGAAGGAGAATGTGACAAAATTTTGTACTGGATTACCTTTCAACAGAGGGATCAAATCCAATGACATAGTAAGTGATAAATACCCAAACAGAAACATCTAAAACCGTGATAGGGATCTTGAGAATCCATGTGGGAAGGGTATATGCCCACGACGGAAAAAAGAGGTCTCTTTGCTTATAAAAAACAGGAAGCTTGGCAATAGTCATAGAAATCTCTGACATTCCACTGAACATAACAGTAACAAAGGAGTAGAACAAAGCACCAGCATATATTCCTCCGTCAGTTACTGAATCACGGTGCATATCAATCCGTAGGAATACAGTCATTGTGATCAGTGCCATTATTGCAAGCTAAAAAGAAGGAAAAGAAGTACTGCATATTAAATCCAGGTGCACAGAAGAAAAAGAAAAGGTTATAATAGAAGCTAAAATAGACTCAAAACTCACTTGAGTGAGCTTAAAAACGTAGACAAATGAATTCCTCTTCATAAGCAGGAGTTCCCTTGAAAAGCAAGCTTTCAAGAGTTCCACCTTTCTAATACCATATTTCTTGGTCGTTAAGGCAGCTGGGTCGCTCTTGGTCTTGTCAAATGGAGCTGCAAGTTCCTCTGTAATTCTTTTCCCCACAGAAAAAGATTGAAAAGCCTCCGAAAAGTGCTTGACTGTGATGAACCTGTAAGGCTCATCTCTGCTTGTCCAGTACTGCTTCTGATCTTTCCTTGATGTCACCTACAACACGTAAGGTACACAAGAGAAATTAATACATAATACTCCTCTTTTGATGCTTATCTCAATTGTTTTCACTAAGATCAAACAAGAGCTAAATATGGACCTACTTCTTGCAGAAAGTCAGCTACGCCTTTTCTCTCAGGACATTTAAAGCCCATAGATTCAAAAAAATCAAGAACTTGTTCACGAGGGCCTTGGTACACAATTTGGCCATCAGAAAGTAGAATAATGTCATCAAAAAGTTCGTAAGTTTCAGGTGCTGGCTGCAGCAGTGAGATGACTGCTGTCCCGTTAAGGATGTGAACATAGTTCTTGACTGAATTTACAATCTGGTAAGTTGTTGAACTATCCAACCCAGTTGATATTTCATCCATGAATAGTGCCCTATAAGGTCCAACAAGCATCTCACCTATACACATTATCAAAAATAAATTATACCATTACTTTTTGAACTTGAGTTTCATGTAAAGAACTTGAGTTTGTTAACCTGTCGTGACTCGTTTCTTTTGCCCTCCAGAGATACCCCTTAATAATTGATCACCCACCAAGGTATCTGCACAAGCATCTAATCCCAAAATCTGCAAATCAATGGATATTGATTAGGTGATGGTAAGTTCTAAAAGTCCTTTTCTTAATGAAGAGCTATTGATCCTACCTTAAGAATATAATCTGTCACCAATATTTCCTTCTGGCCTTCTGTTGCAATTGCCTATAATATCGTAAATGATTAAAACAGAAATGTCCGATGATTTGAAAAGCATATCGCAGAACAAGCAAAAAATAAGTCTCAAATCTTATTGGAAAAGTTCACATATAGCAGAATCTCCTAAATCCTAAAATAAAGCACTATTCTACACCCTCTTAATTTAAGTCTAAAATAAAATAAAGTAGCTTATGTCTTACCTTCATGAAGATGTCTACATCTGGATCCGGCTTAATATTCACTTCTCTTTCTCTTCTAGTTAGCTCTACCAGCATTTCTGCCAAAATTCAAAATCATAACCAATCATGTTTTAATCTATTGGCCTGGCTTTGAAATTAAAGGAAACTAAGTAAGAAGCAGTCCTATAAACCAACCATAACGGGGGCCAACCCCTTGGCATCTTGCAGAGAAGGCCAAGGTTTCTTTGACTGTCATTTCTGCAATATGAACATCATGTTGACTGATATAGGCAGCACTCCTTTGAGGCACAAACTCATGCATCTCATAACCATTGTAAGTCACACATCCTGAAGACTGGACAAGTATTTTTACTTTATAAGTCAAGAGTAACATTTAAAAGGTAAAGCTTGGGAAAAAATTGATAGAAAATCTTAGAGAAATTAAATTCATTTATTTAACCTTAAGATCCTGATCAATTTTTCCAGCCAAAGCCAACAAGAGCGTGGTCTTCCCGGAACTTGGAGGGCCCAAAAGCAGTGCCATTCTGCAAAACAAAAAAAAAAAAAAAAAAAAAAAAAAAAGAGAAAAAGAAAAAGAAGCACTGAAGTGAGTAGAGTAGTTTATTTTTGGTTAAAACCCAAGTGAGTATGCATATTAGGCCACAAAGACTAATTTTGAATTGAAAAAGACGAACATAACAGAGTTTATTTCATGGATAGACAGAGGTTTTCTTCTCACCTGCCAGGCTTGATGATCCCACTGACATCTTTAAGGATAGACAAGTGTTTCTTCTTAGTGGGAAGAATATGGATGCTATTCAAGAAGCCCTTTGGTGCACAGAAACAAAAAACTTCTTAAGAATGTAGTGATATTTGACAGGAAAACCATATGTGCTATAATATATCATTTACCTCCATTAAGTTAACACAATAGTTCAAGACTGTAGGCAAAGCCCTGCTTCCAACATAAGCTTCAGCTGAAATGTTTAGATGCTCAAATCTGACTTCTATTGTAGGAAAGCTTATTCCAACTCTGTGATACGAAGAAAAACAATCCCATTATGATAAAATAAAATATAAAAAAACAAAGAAAATTTGAGAAAATCTAGAATGATATGCATGTAGACTAGAGAATATTGTTTACTCTTACCTATCAATGCGGCTCTTGAGCCTCAACAAGAAGCTCTCTTGACCCTCTTCCACTGCTCCGACCAGCCTCTCAAGCAAGCCTTTCCTTTCTTGCAAACCAAGATGTTTCGCATCAACTTCATTGGCATGGCTCATGTCCATTGAAAAACTGCTACAAAGTTTTTGCTTTTCTTTTTAGCAATGCAAGGAGACTTGTTATATATGCAGATAGGTATTTACGTGACATAAGGGTTGACATCACCCGAAAATAATTTTGGCCACCACGTTAATTGTCGTTGGATAATTTTAGCTTTTGAGATTTATGTAATATGTAGATTAAATCACACTCATGCAACTACAACTAGAAATAATGTGGTGACAATGCTCACCACCAGTTAAGGGTGGTGAGGCCAAGATGCTTTATGCATTTAATCACTTTTGAGTTTGCCTTTTTTAAGAAATTCCAGTTTGCATTTAATCACAAGTATTAACGTGAAGAATCAAAGATCTATTGGAACCGCACTATCCGACCAGATTTAATTGACCACATAGCAAGTTGATGGAGCATTCTTATCAAGTATTTGATCTGACCACGTTGATGTAATTAAAAGAATTAATGAAACCAAGGAAAAAGGCTTATAGTTTATGTAATTAAGAGCAGTTATCCCGCACTTCAGTTTATGTGCTCAAATCCCCCTTCTTTAATATCGCTTGGATAAAAGAAAAGGAATTGATGAAACCAAAAAGTTATTCCTTAGAAGAGTTCTTAGATTACCTCTGAGGTCTGTTATTCCTTAAAAGGAATTGGTGTCTCTATTATTTTGCTATTGCATTTATTGTCTTTATCATCTATATATATATGGTTACTTTCTCTCCCTGACTAGTGGGAGAGGTGAAGTATTTGACATCACTTTATCCTCTGCATGAAATTACTTCCTATGGGAAAGAAAAAAGACAGAAGACATCTTTGTCACATGTAACTTATGGTTGAGAATGAGATAGAGAAATCATGTTGTGTCCCCCACCAACGTAATAACTTTACTTGTAGAATAGAAACACTTATTCTTGAAGAACTTAAAAACCTTCCTTACAAATTAAGGGCAGGCAGCGTGTTTGGTTCGGTGCAAAAACATAAACCTAAATGGTAATGCTTTACCTACACTGTGGACCCAGAATAAATGGAGACATAGAATTTAATAAAAGATTGACATGTTGTGGTATTGCTTTTTATCATTTCTATCCAAGCTTTGGTTTTCTATAAGTTATGGTAAGCCAAACATGGCCAAAGTAAGGAGGATATTTTAATCCGAACATAAATTCAGTCAATATTTTTTGCATACTATTTTTGGGTGCGCGTTCACACATACACCAAGTAGCTTTTTTCGTTATGTAAACAACTATGAAGACTAAATAGTTATGTAGTTATATATAATACAAACGAATTTTAAACCATAAAAATAAATTAAAAAACCAATGAACAAAAAGAAAAAGAAAATTTGAACAACTAACGGGCCTAGTTCAGTGAAAAACGGCATTGACTTGCAGATTAATAGTCTTAAGTTCGAACTCCCATTATATCTTGATAGTTTGCGTGTGAGAAACCTAAACGATCACTTGTACCAATAGTTTGATTTTCAATATTTGTGGGTCGAAAGTCGAAAGTCCAAACAAGAAATGGGCTCATTACTCAGTACAGAGGAAAATTACAATATTAGGCCTGCCATTGTGGCCCAAATCTTATCACAAACGGCTATCGTCGATCGGCCCTGTTTGTCTGTTCAGAACTTGAATCCCCAAATCCATTCGACAAAAGCAAAATCCCTAAACCTAATTCCCAAGACCACGACGTTGCTTGCACTACCGTCGCCGCCATGAGACCTCCGTCGAATTCGTAAAGATGGGGTAAGCACTGAACTTTTCAATAGATATCTAATCGGTTGATAAATTTGCAGCTCTTCTCTTTTTCTTTTTCCACATGTCGATCTTTGTAAAAAATCAAAGTTTGCATCTTTTTTCGTTATCATCGTTATTTTGGTTATGGGTTTTGTGAATTAGATTCAAAATTTTATCGGAATCATGAAGTGAAAGAGAGCAGATTAGGATGAGAATTGATCTGTAGATGTGGTGGGTGGTGAAGAAACTGAAGTTTGAATAGATTAAATAGGTAAGGATGGTACAGAAGAACCAGGTGCATTTGGTTGAAGAGGAATGTAGAGAATGAAGTTGATTGCATTAAGAAAAAAATATATACATATCCACAGGCTTATTTAGCCCCATTCCCACTTTTTGTTGGGGGTAGTGAATGTAGGATTCTAACTCAATATGTTTTTGAAGAATTGAGTTTGATATTGGTATTGGTGCCTGTGCAGCTTATTAAGAGTATCAGATATGAGTCTGTAAATGAAATGATAGGTATGTAACTAAGATTTATTTCATCAAAAGATATTCGTTCGAATAAACAGCCGAAGAAGAACAGAACTTGGGATTAATCTGACCAGATGATGCCAAGGTTTTTTTCTTCTTTAAACAATCCTGTCACAACCCTCAGTTCAAGGGTTTGTGGTGGGTGACTTGTTGGTAGAGTTGTATGAAAGCTCCTATAGTTTCCTTAATAGCATGCAGAAGGGTTGGCTAATCTCTAAGGTAAATGTTATGGTAGGTCCATTTAGAACCTTAATTTTAAATTTTGTGGGGCTAAGATTGATTCTCTAGGCTCCAGCCTCCAATTATGTAGTCGATAATTGGGCTTGGTGCAAACTTCAGTCCTATTGTTGAGTTCGAATTTCAGTTAAAACACTTCATTTGTATGTATATATGCTACCTTCTTAGTGAGCTTTATCTGTGTCTGGTCTGATAGACACAAAAAGGTAAGGGTTATAAACTTAAATATGTACTGGGAAGTGGAATCCTGATCTCTACTAAAATTATTCTTTATGTTTAAGCTATCTACTTAATTATCCTTCGAAAGTTTTCTATTTCAAGATTGGATCAAATTTATCTGTTTGCAGCTAGGAAAACATATACTTAACCATGTTCTGGCCATATTAGGCATCTGAAAGTTCATGAAAGGGGACGAACTTACATTAAAGTGTCGTTGGCAGAAAGGGGAAGGACATTATTTTAAGTTCGTCATGTCTTATTTCCAAATCATAGTTCACAAATAATTGAGTTGAAAATGTTTAAACGTTATTTCTGCTATTTTCCCTAGTCTTGCAATGATGCCTTTCATTTTATTTCTAATGGTGGTATTCTTTAGCAGGCAAATCTTACTACCGTGAGTGAGCATTTACTGTTTACATGCAAGCCAGAGAGGAAACCAAATGATGTGGGCATTTATAGTGAATTACTTATTGATGGATGGCGACTATTTTATTTCTTCCCCCTTAATTTACAACAATATAGATAACATTTATCACAGCAATTTGTACACCTCAGAATGTATGTGTCCAACAATTTTCTTAAAACAGCAACTAAATAAAATTTTAAATTTACACAAACAACGACCTTCGGGGGAGGGATGGAATTAAACACTGCTTGCAACTTTTAGCGGCGGTTTTTGAGTAACCGTCGCAGAATGATTTTTAACAGCGCTTTGCTACGGAAAAAACCGTAGCTAAATTTCCTATGCATAATTGGGGACCTATAAATTTGTCACTAAAGATTAGAAAACCGTCGCAAACCGCAGCGAAAGATGAAAAACCGTCAATTAAAACACAAATTATCTGCGTTTTGCCGGTTGAAGTCCTTTTCCTTCTTATTTACGGATGCCATTCACTTTCTTTCCACCAGAATACCACATGCAATTTAGTAAATCTCGGAAGAATAATTAATTTACCATCAATACATTAAAATGAACAGAAGATTCAATAGAATTGGTCAAAAATCATTGCTTCTTTTGTTCCTTCAAAAACTTACTTCTTATAGGTAGAGTTTATGTGGCTACCAAGTTATAGATGAAGCAGTTGCACTCTGATAAAGCAGGTTCCATGGTGCATAAAATGCTTGGGAAGTCACCTGTGCAAAGGCATATATGTACATTCTAGCAGCCCGTTCTCTATAAACGAAACATTGGTTCAACTGCATAGATAGAACATAGGCACACACAGATAGAACCAATTGCATCAAAGAGATCTTCCGGTGCGGCTTTGTCATGGAATTAACAGATTCAAAACTACATATGCAAGAACATCAACTTCTGTTACATGTATTTACTTATGGCTTTGTATGATGATTGTGTAGATCGATCAATCTTATGGCACTCTACGCCGGATTTCGCCAATAAGACCAATATTGTTTCCATAAGCAAGCCACATGCATCGAGTGAAAAATGATTGAGGATGCTAGAAGCAGCAATACTCAATTATTCAGTAAGTGATTTGTCTCTCCTGAAACGAGAAATGAATTACTTTCACTAACAAATTTTACTTAAGTAGAGAGTTTCTTTCGACAATTTTCTTAATTTTCCAGTGTTGATGGAGATGTCGTGTTCAACCTTCATGTGACCACAAGGCTTATTTATAGGCATGGTATGCAGGTGCTGTGCTATGTATTCAAACCTCTTTCGCTGCTCAGTTCAGTTGAGAGACCATTTTCATCATGTAACCCTATTAATGTTTGCCTCAATGATTCAGCGCCACTAGTTCAACTTGTTTTCTTGTTTTCCAAGCTTACTATTATTAACTCTTTTGGACTTTTGCCTCAATGGAACATTGTAATGTCTTATTTTTTGGGCCAATATTGGAATTAGTTAATAAATTTGGGTATAGTACGCGTATTATAGACATGCTTCCCAAAGACATGGAAAAAATACCGGTTTTTTCAAAATCAAATGTACTATACACATCTTATACACAAATGTATTATTCACATTTAATACATATACTTTTATAAATTTATAAATAAAATGGACAAAGCGTCAACTTTGATAAGAGTTCTATCTTCTATATAGTGCCCATTGCTCATCTCGCCTGCGTGTACAAATGGAGCAGATCCTACAGGTTAAAGGCCGTAAGGATTTTGGAAAATATCTAGGCATTATGGCAGATTTTGGAACGTCTAAAAGAAAAGTTTTTGAGGAGGTCCGTCGTAAGCTAGATGGCAAGCTGCATGGCTGGGCTGAACAATTCCTTTCACCGGCGGGCAAAGAGGTCCTCATAAAGGCTGTTGCTATGGCCATGCCCTGTTATACCATGTCTTGTTTTAAGCTGCCAGTGACACTATGCAAGGAAATTGAAGCTGCCATGGCTAGGTTTTGGTGGAAGTCCCACACGGACAAAAACGACATTCATTGGGCTAGCTGGACAAAACTATCTCAGCTCAAAAAGGCAGGCGGTTTGGGCTTCCGTGATCTCCAATGTTTCAATATGGCTTTACTTGCGAAGATTGGTTGGCGTATTTTGCATAACCCAAGCTCTTTGCTTGCATGCTCGCTCCATGACAAGTATTTTGTCGGGGCGTCCTTCCTCACTGCTACCTCTCAAAAATCATCCTCCTGGGGATGGAAAGGTATTCTCCAAGGGCGCCGTCTGCTTGAGTCTGGATTGCATTGGCGTATAGGAGATGACACTACAGTCCAGGTACGTAATGATCCGTGGCTTCCAACCCCTTACACCTTTCGAACTCTCTCGTGACATCCTGACCTTCCCTCCATGGTCCATGAACTCATTGATCCTCTCCTGAAAACTTGGAAAAAAGATGTGATAAATAGGTGTTTTGTACCGGAAGAGGCCAGCCACATCTTAAGTATCCTTATCAGCCGGTGGGGCTGTCCAAACAAGCTAATTTGGCATTTCAGCATGCATGGGCGGTACACTGTTCGGTCAGGTTATGAATTAGCGCTACACCTACAACGGAATGGTGAATTGGGGCGTAAGGGAGCGGGCTGGCTCAATCTTCAGTTTGGAAATCAGTTTGGCATGTTGATGCACCTCCCAAGCTCAAAGCCTTCATTTGGCGTGGTTGCTCCAACATTCTTGCAGTGAGGCACAATTCGCACAGGCGGAGTGTACCGTGCACCGGGGAATGTGGCTTTTGTGGCTTTCAGGATGAAACTCAGGCTCATATTTTTTTCGAATGTGACTTTGCCCGTGCCTTCTGGTTTGCCAGCCCTCTTCAACTTGACGTGAGCAAGTTAGCGGGTGAGGATTTTATTTCTACTTGGCAACATATGATGACAACGCTCAACTCATCTGAGCATGCGGCAGAGGCTATTCAGTGGTTTGTTTTTGGGCTGTGGCGAATCTGGAAAGCCAGGAATTTAGCGGTCTTTGACGGTGTGCAGGCTGACCCTACTGAGGCTGTTCTCCTTCTACTCAAGCAGGTTAGTGAATTCCGTACTGCTAAACAGGACCTCCAGCCCCAGCCTCTCCAACCTGTCAGCAGTCCTGCTCCCCTGAGCTGGTGTAAACCTCCGCCCGGTCTTCTTAAAGTAAACTCTGATGCCGCATGGTCTGCTCAGCGGATGGGTGGGGGTGTTGGCTGGGTCATACGGGATTCTTTCGGTTTATTGCTATGTGCGGGTGGACAGGGAGACCTTCATGGTTCCTCCGCTCTTATGATGGAACTTCTAGCTATTCGCCATGCGCTCAGTGAGTGTGCTAATTTTCATCTCACAGACATTATTGTGGAGTCAGATTCTCAAAAAGGTATCTTAATGCTTAATGGTCGGGCTACAGTGGACTCAGACTTGGAGGGGATTGTCTTTGATATCAGGCAGTTGGTGGCTTCTCTTTCTCGGGTTTCCTTTGTGTTTGCTCCTAGTTCCTGTAACCAGGCTACCCATTCTGTTGCGGGTTTTGTCTCTAAGCAGGGGGGTAATCATGTTTGGGATCATCTAGGAACTAATTGGCTTTTTAATTTTCTTACCTCTGATGTAAACCTTCACCTTCGTTATTAATCTCATTCTCCAGCGTTTTGCCAAAAAAAAAGAATATAATACTACACATTAATTTTTTTAAAATGAAATAGTATTAAAATACTCTATAATGACCGAATATTTCATCAAAACTTTTGTTGAAATTTGGCTGAATAACGTATTTTACTACCTATCTCTATGTTGTTAAGGAATTATTAACAAAAATTTCTTATTATTTATTGAAACAAATTTGCTAAAATTATATTTAGGAAAATTAAAAACATATATCCATGAAAAAAAAAAAGGGAGTAAGTAAGCTACTAAATAAAAAAGAAAATGAGGGGGAAAAAAATCTAAACCAACAGTTTGGGTCTCTGTACTGTGGGTCAAAAGTCAAAAGTCCAAACATGAAATGGGCTCATTACTGAATACGGCCTTATCCTTGGGTCTTTGGGTCACCAGAAAACCCGATTTCTTCTCTCTCTTTTTCCTTGGTCAAGAAAAGCCCAATTGCTGTAATCCCCAAAATCGATCAAAACGAAATCCCTAAACCTAATTCTCCACCGCGACGTCGGTTGGGCTCCAATCCAACGGTACCAAATCGCCTTGACACTTCTATCAGATAAGTGAAGAGAAGCGAAAAGCACTGTACCATCGTCTCAATTTGTCCAAGCCAAGGTATAAAATCTGGCTTTTTCACTAGAAAAGTTGCACCCTTTTTATTTCTCAGATATCTGACTGGTTTCTGTTTTGGACAAAGTCGGCAAGATGTTAGTTTTCTGTTCTGGGGTAGAATGATCTCATTGCAACAGTCTGTTTAAGCTTAGTTTTGTTGATGTATTTTGATGGCTTTTTTTTTGTCTTTGCAATGAAGTTGATCACTTTTTGACCAAAAAAAGAAAAGAAAAAAGAAACTGGTTTCAAAATTGCATCTTCTTTTTATTTAAATTTTTTATTTTCCAGATATAGAGTTTGTGTTGGAGTAGGGAATATCTGATTCTAACTATATGTAACTTGAAGCACTGACTTTGATATTGGTATTGGTGGCTGTGTACCTTGAGTATTATGTGTAAATCTATTAAATGTGCCCTTTTTAAAATTACAAGGGTCACTGGGTGAGAAGGAGGAAGGACAGTACTTTGAGTGTATCATGGGGCTAACTCACAGTCAACATTTAGTGCATGTGACATTCCTCATGCCTCATGTAGTGCATTGTTTGGAGAGAGGTTCAATTTTTTCAGAGGAAAGAACAAGGAGAAGTTCTAGGAAGATGTGCAAGGTTGGCAGTTTACGGGTAGTGGGGGTGGAAAGGAATAGGAGAGTTTTTGATGATGTCAAGGGTGATGGGATAGAGTGGTGGATTTCTTGTTCAACGATTCGTACATTATGTCTGTTTAATAAAATTGTGGTTTCTTATAAAAAAAAACTCAGTCAACATGTAATGTTCGTAAGTTCACACATATTTTGGTCTATGTATCCACATTGAAATCAATGCATGTTCCTAATTTTGTGAAGGTTCTGATCCTAGTTCACAAATGATATACTGATATAGTTGAATTGAAATTGTTTAAACTCCAATTTTGGTAACTTTTCTTTCTACAATGTATCTACGATTTTAGTTTTCTGTTCTGGTGTAGAATGATCTCACTGAAACGGTCTGTTTGGGCTTAGTTTTGTTCTGCCTTGTTTTGTTGGTGTATTTTGATGCCCTTTTTTGGGTCTTTGCAAAGAATTTTATCACTTTCTTACAAAAAAAGAAAAAGCTGGTTTCATGTATTGGTGGTTGGTTCACTAAACCTGTCTTTGTGTAACTTCGTTAAAGTATTATATATAAATCTATAAACTGAGTGGTGTGTATGTAACTAAGATTTATTACATATTAAGACTTCATAACCCATTGAACTATTTATGTAATTTTCCTCATTTAGTTTTGAAAACCTCTTTAATTGTGCGCTTTTTAAACTTACAAGGGTCATTGGTTGAGGAGGAGGAAGGACAGTACTTTGAGTGTATCATGGGGCTAACTCACAGTCAACTTGTAGTGCATAGGACATTCCTTGCCTCATGCAGTGCATTGTTTGGAGAGAGGTTCAATCTTTTTGGAGAAAAGAAACGGGGAGAAGTTCTGGGAAGATGTGCTATGTTGGCAGTTTTTTGGGTAGTGTAGGTGGAAAGGAATAGGAGGGTTTTTGTTTTTGTTAAGGGTGATGAGACAGATTAGTTATGAGACATCGTATACAGTTTCGGTCATTCTCTTGGGCATCTACATCTTTAGAGCTTAGGGCGTTTACTTTTTACTAATCTATGGATTGGAAAGCAGTAGTATTGTAGAGTTATAGTTTTGCAAGTGAAATGTGGTAGAGGGGTATCTGAGTTTTAAGATTGTGGTGGTTGTATATTTGGTGGATTTCTTGTTCACTGATTTGTACATTATGGTTTTTTTAATAAAATTGTGGTTTCTTATTAAAAAAAACTCAGAGTCAACATGCTATGTTCTTAAGTTCATAGTGCGCGTATTTTGTTGTCTCATTACAATTAAAGCATGTTCTTAATTTATGAAAGTGCTAATCCAAGTGCACAAATATACTGATATAGTTGAATTGAAATTGCTTAAAGTCTAATTCCGTTAACTTTTCTTTCTACAATGTACCTCAATGTTCCTTTACACACATGCATCAACTTATATTTGATTTTCGATATTGCGCAGCAAGCAAGCACAACTGTTTCACTGGGTATTTACATGCAATACATAGGCCAAAGCGTTCGATGATGGCTATTTTATTTCTTCTGGCTGATTTTTTAACAATATGTACACTTTATTTATTGCAGCGGTTCCTTGCCAAAAGAAAAGAGTGGGGAGAAGTGGGATAAGAGATCATGCCCCTTTAAAGTGCTTCATTCAGGCCCAATATTGCATTAAAAAACAAATTAGCATGAAATATTCATAAACAAGGATCATCTGACAAAATTTGCCCTTTTTAAAAGTAGAGTAGCGTCCCAAAATTATAATGCGTAAAAGGGAAAGACGGTAAAAGCTCACATTTCTAAAGGAATGTAGTACGGCATTCTATGCAACCTTTAGCGGCGGGTTTTATCTCCGCTGCTAATTCATGAATCTACAACGGTTAGCGACGGAAAAAACCGCTGCTAAAACGATTTTCATATCTGGAGACTAAATTTATGTCACTAAATCTCATAAAATCGCTGCAAACGGCCGCAAAAGATTTAAAACCGTCATTTAAAACAACACAAATCTTACATTATGCGGATGGAAGTCTCCCTCCGTTCTTAGGTGGATTTTTTACAAGTATTAAAGTTGATGAGGCTAAGTCCCAAATGGTCAACAAGTTGACATGTTTGCTATTGAGACCCTAGCCTAAACTATGCTGATTGAAATTAATTGATACAGAATTTCTTATCGCCACTGAAAATTCAACTTCTTGATGGACAAGGCATAGGTAAATGCAAAGAGTAGTGTAAATCCAACGACTACAGCTGCAACCACTACCACAAATTCTTGTTCGAAACCAAAGTAATTTCTCAGAAACTCTTGCACTGTTTCACCTGTGTTGAGCTTGGCCTGTATATCTCCAAACTGGGATGCAGTCAATCCGTACAAGGTCCAAGCCATTGGGGATGCCCAATAGTACCATCTCCACCATATAGGAATTCTCTGATATGGCGTCCAAAGGAACAAGAACGAAAATTTGTCATCAATACAGATTCTATTAACTGGAAAAAAAAACTTGCAGTAGTAGGAACTTAAAGGGCATGCAACGCTTACGGTTCGTGGGATTATGAACCCTGAAAAGAGGTTCCATAATGCATAAAATGCATTACAAGCTATAGCAGCAACATGTTGATTTGGTGTCAAGGCCACCCCCATCATGCCATAGAAGGTGAAGTACAAACATGTGAAAAACATGAAGAATAGGTACCAAAAGAATTTAGCCACAGTCCACTCGAAGCCAATCATGGCATAAACTAGGACACCATAGATCACAGCTTGTGCAAAAATATAAAGGACCTCAATTGTGACCTACAACAAATAATCGAATTAGCACAAGACAAATAAGATAAGATGATGCATAATAATAACTATGTTTGTAAAATGCATATAGAATAAGTCACCTGTGCATAGGCATATGCCAAGGCAGAATACATTCCAGCAGCTTGTTCTCTATAAAAGACGGTTCGTTCAACAGCCACTATCGGCTGCACTGTCATAGCATTCTGAATACCAAGGAAGAGAACAGAAGCATACATAGAACCAATTGCATTAAAGAGCTCCTGCGGTTTGGTCCTGAAATTAACAAACTCAAAATTACTCATGCAAGAATCTCAACTTCTATTACATCTATGTTACTTCTGCACTGTGACTTACATTTTGGTGCCAAGATTCCAGAACATTGTCCCAAGCAGCAAGGCTACGACAGTTGTGTAGATAAACCTTATGGCATTGTATTCCGGATTGTGCCAGTATGACCAATGTTGTTTCCATAAGCAAGCCATGTATTGAGTGAAAAATGACTGAGGATATCGAGTAGGGAAGTAGAGGTCCTTTGAACCCGGAGCAGGGGTACTCAGTTCTTCAATAAGGGATTTGTTTCTCCTGAAATGAAATCACTTTCATCAGTAAAAGTTAATGCATGGTTCAAGGTCTGATAAACCTACCTATAAATTTCAGAACTTCTATAAACATCAGCAAAATCAATTCCTAATGCTGTTTCTTTGGCTGAAGTGGTAACTTCCAACATCCAAGTAGCTGGATTGTAGCCATCCTTGATTTTGCGCACCCCCTCAATTCCCTGCACAGAAAATTACATGTACAAGAAAACCTTTCTGAAAAAAGAAGAAGCAGAAAAGATAAGAATATCATATTTTATCATTGAAATTTCCTGAGTTTCAATCAGACTCTACCTCAAAGTACTTGATCAAATGGCAAGAATGACGACCTAGTGGCCCTACATATATCTCCTGTCCTCCTTGCTTCATTAGAAACAACTGCAATGACATGTTACATATGCTAATCACTTAGAACA